CACACTGGGAACAGGCTCCAGCTGTTCGTCTGCCTCACTGATGTCTGACTCTGAAGGCAGCTGATGACTGGTGTACAGCTCTGCTCCCCTCTCTGCCTCCCAACACAGAGCCCTCACCAGAGTCTTCCCCAGACTCCAGGACCTGCCCAAGTCCCCCCCCCCCCAAACCTCCTCACTGTCCGAATGCTGGCGGGCCACAACAGACATTAGGTAGGAAGGTATCAAGTATAAGGGTGAGTCCACTGGTTGAATTTATGAAGAAATTCTGTCAATAGAAACCACAAGGCACAGGGTCTTTCCTGGCTTGGATGGTAGTGATAATGACGCAAGAGGAGTCTCAGCAAGGTTATCAGGTCCACGCAGTCCAGGAAGAACATCAGGTCATTACTCTTGATAAAGTCATTTCCAGCAGGTTTGTACATAGGACTCCGTCAACCTAAGTCTGCAGTATGAACAAAACAGAAAAGAACAGAAGAAAGTGGCAGGGAAAGGCAACATGGGCAAAGATAAGAAAGGAACTAATAAGTCAATGCCATAATAACAAATATTTATTATAAAATTTGAAAAAAATATCCATTTTGCAGAATAAAGGTTGCTGGTGATCATGACATATTTAATATTTTTGCTTTCTCTCCACCGATTCTGTGCCTATCAGCTGCTCTTCTGATCACTTTCCCAAGTAAAACAGAAACTGACCTTTTTATAAATGTTTCCTTAACCTTGTTTTAAAAAGATACAGGAAAGCATTTGCTGCTACTCACAGAATGTTGCATTTCTTTGAGCAGAAAACCAAGTTGTGAGTCTGTTGTAGTATTGGACTCACTTTTCTTGCCCTAGAAATATAATACAGTTGTCTGGGAGCAAATTGAAATGTGTTGTCCAGATGTTGAACTAAAACAATTGTTACTTCCTTAAAGTGAATTAATTCGGTAATGCTGCTGAATCCGGTCCCTGTATATTGACTTTGAGTCATGTAAAATAATTATTCCTTATGAATTCTGCAGAATTATTGCAGTAGACAAGTGAGGAAATGTTACGATTGCCATTCTTTTAATGTAAAGTGATAGAATGCTTATCTTCCCATTTTAATTTACCCTGATCAATATTAAGACCCTTTTGGTTGGATTTCTTAGGGATACATTCGGCAATGTCGCAAACACACAGGGATGTTCACTCCAGCCCAGCTAAGCACCATATTTGGAAATATTGAAGATATTTATAAATTCCAAAGAAAATTTTTGAAAGACCTAGAGAAGCTGTACAACAAAGAAGAGCCCCATTTAAGTGAAATAGGATCCTGCTTTCTTCAGCATGTAAGTTGGTTAAATATCCTCATTTGACTAAGTAGTTCAGTACAAGAGAATTCGATGAACTGGGAAACCTACAGTGAGATAACAGCGCAGAATTAATGTCAGCATAATTCATTAAAGTTTATAGTCAATTTTTCAGATATGTTTTCTGAAGAGGCAAAGGTCAGAATGAGTAGCGGGATGATTATGTAAAAAGAAGCAGGACTTGGGAATTTATAGTAAGTATATTTTAAGGGTTATACCATGTTATAGTATTTCTTATTTCCAACTGTTAGAGAACTAGAGAATATATTTTCAGTAGTTTTAACCAGAGTGGGTGGGGGGCTGTATAAAGAGGGCTTATCAGTGATGGGATTCAAAAAAAATTACTACCGGTTGTGTGGGCATGGCTTGGTGGGCATGGCAAGGGAAGGATACTGCAAAATCTCCATTTCCACCCCACTCTAGGGTAAGGATACTGCAAAATCCCCATTCCCTCTCCACCCCACCAACTTGCTTTCCAGCTCCATTATCCTGTTTAGAGCAACAAAAGAAGTCCCAGCCAGATCAGCTGGGACTCAGGAGGCAGCGAATAGATGGAGGTGGGGCCAGCCAGAGGTGGTATTTGCCGGTTCTCTGAATTACTCAAAAATTCCGCTATCGGTTCGCCAGAACCAATCAGAACCTCTTGGGCTTATACTGCAAAGATTCATTCATTCTGGGTCCTGCATGCCTGACTGACTGCCAAGCTCAATAGTTCATTTTTTGTCAGCTCTCTGAGAAACAATGATATTGTCTCTGTGCCTTTACAGGAAATCTGGGTGACTTACACCTCTGTCCTCTTCTCTTTCTTCACTTTGAAACAGCTGCGGAATTGCGAAAGCAATTTCTACAGCTTGCAGCTTATCTGTGCTTTTAGTTTTCTCCTTCCAGCGGTGAGATATTTTAAAATTGGTGTTTTGTATTTGTTTTGTTTTGTTTTTGCTTTTAGCAAGAAGGATTTGCGATCTATTCTGAGTATTGTAACAATCACCCTGGAGCCTGCCTTGAGCTCGCCAACCTGATGAAACAGAGCAAATATCGCCATTTTTTTGAAGCTTGCCGCCTCCTTCAGCAAATGATTGACATTGCCATTGATGGTTTTCTCCTCACCCCTGTTCAGAAAATCTGTAAATATCCCCTGCAGCTTGCTGAATTATTAAAGTACACCACTCAGGATCATAGGTAAGGCCGATCGGTTAGGGTTTTTTCCTATGGGAACATTCCACATTCAGGTTAACTTCTATCCAATCCTGAAGAGTGCTTGCAGAATATGATCAAATGCGTACGAAAGCAGCCATGATTTGTGCAATAAACATTCCTCCTGTTTTTCATGTGTAACATGCAAACGCACAAACACACATGGGGAGACCTTCAACTGCACCCTTGCCTTTCAATTTTTCCAAAAGCACAGCCTTAAATCCGTATGCCTTCTTCATATACAATTCTTAGTGATAGTGAAAAGAAACTTGTAAATCATTTAAGAAGTACATAGGTAAAATTGTTAAATTGTGCTGAAATGGTAATTATGTATTTTAACTGAGATCATTCAGTTAAATTGGACTGGAGCGCAGCACAGGCAGTCCATAATACCCTACTAGACGCTATCCATAGAATTAAATTTTAAAGTGGAAATGGTTGGATCTCGTAAAGTTTTTGGACAAGAGTGGCAAAATCCTGTTAGATTTCAGTCCTTTTGCAAGAGACCTATTGAGATGTTAGCGGTTTTTTTGTGCTGTGTGACAAGGGTGATGATCCTCTATGGTTTTAAACAATTTTATTTAATTGTGGAGAGGGGGATGTTGAGTTAGCCTTGCACCGTCCTAGACTGACACTTTCCAGATAAGCTGGACTTACAACTCCCAGAATTTGCAACCAGCACTGCCAATTTTAGTGATGGATTGAGGAGCTGAAGATATCATTTTAGAATTACAACTTGTTGTAGCTCCAAGGCAGCACAGTCAATGGGGTGGAATGCTGGGACTTGTAGCTACTTACTAAGGTAGGAAAGATTGATTCATGAACCAATCCGTTCTCCACACCTCTCTGAACTGTTTCCTAATTCCCACAAACTGAATGGAAATTACTAGTGTGAGAGAAAATGATCTGTTGGGTAATGAATTATGATTCAGAGTTTTAATACTTTTTGATTACCCAACATGTCTGTTACAAGTTCTGCTATTGTGAATGGGCTGAAAGTGCATGGACTGAGTAATCAAATAAAGAGGAACTTGCTTGATATCCGACTTTTCACCCTCGAGCTCTCAAGATAGACTGGATGACAGCTCCCATCACATACCCATGACTTTCAAACTACATGCCTCTATGCCCCTCTTGTCATCCTGTATCTTGCAACAGTATACCGTATTTTTCAGAGCATAAGACATACTTTTCCCCCCTAAAAGAGAGTGAAAATTTGGGTGCGTCTTATACTCTGAATGTAGCCCCGCCCACCCGCCGGCCCCCACCCGCTGGCCTCTGCACGTCATGTTTTAGACTTGTTCCATGCTGAATGGATTGCCACAGACCATCTCCCCCTCTAGGGCTTGCGTTTTTGACCCCTGCGGCTTGTGTTTGCAGCCTCTGAATGCTCCGTTTGAGACCCATTGATGACTGTGGGGATCACCAGAGCACATTGCTCCCTCCGCGCATCATGTTTTAGGCCTCCGCATGCCCTGTTTTTGGCCTCTGTGCGTCGCATTTTCAGGTGGCGATGTGCAATCCCCGAAGCCTTGAACGGGTCTCAAACGTAGCATTTGAAGGGTGAAAATACGAGGTGCGGAGACCAAAATGGCTACCCAGAATAGCTGCTGCCTTGTCTGGTCGCTTCCGTGCTTTGCCTGCTTTACTCACTGGAGGTGCCTGCGATGATCAGCTATGTTTTTGAAGCTGCATATCAGCCCCAACGTGCATCTCACAAACAGCGAACTAGCGTGCTGAAGTTGACCAGGCTTTTTGCTATGGACACTAGCCAGATGAATATCGATGGATGCTGATAGGCAGAGGCAGAATTATTTTCTTATTTTCCTCCCCAAAAACTAAAGTGAAAATACTCTGAAAAATATGGTTTCATCACCCACCTCCTACATGGACATCGCAGCTTGAGGAAAATAGGAAATGTAATCTAACTCAGTACCTCTCCACACATTCAAACTTACCATTTTTATTATTATTATTGGATTTGGATGAGGGAATAAATGGGGAACTCATCAAATTTGCAGATGACACCAAGCTGGCAGGAATAGCCAACATTCCAGAAGATAGGCTAAAGATACAGAAGGATCTTGACAAACTTGAACATTGGGCACTATCTAATAAAATGAAATTCAATGGTGAAAAGAGTAAGGTTCTACATTTAGGCAACAAGAATGAAATGCACAGGTACAGTATAGGTGGTACCTTGCTCAACAGTAGTAAACGTGAAAGGGATCTTGGAGGCCTAGTGGACAACCATTTAAATATGAGCCAGCAGTGTGCAGCAGCTGTCAAAAAAGCCAACACAGTTCTAGGCTGCATAAACAGAGGGATAGATCATGTGAAGTGTTAATACCACTTTATAATGCCTTGGTAAGGCCACACTTGGAATATTCCATCCAGTTTTGGTTACCACAATGTAGAAAAGATGTGGAGACTCTAGAAAGAGTGCAGAGAAGAGCAACAAAGATGATTAGGGGACGAGACTAAAACATATGAAGAACGGTTGCAGGAAGTGGGCATGTCTAGTTTAATAGAAAGAAGGACTAGGGGAGACATGATAGCAGAGTTCCAATATCTCATGGGTTGCCACAAAGAAGAAGGAGTCAAACTATTCTCCAAAGCACCTGAGGGTAGAACAAGAAGCAATGGGTGGAAACTAATCAAGGAGAAGCAACTTAGAATTGAGAAGAAATTTCCTGACAGTTAGAACAATTAATCAGTGGAACAACTTGCCTCCAGAAGTTGTGAATGCCCCAACACTGGAAGATGTTGGATAGCCATTTGTGTGAAACGGTGTAGGGTTTCCTGTCTAGGCAGGGGGTTGGACTAGAAGACCTCCAAGGCCCCTTCCAATTCTGCTATTGTATTGTATTGTATTATATTGTATTGTATTTGAATGAAAATAAAAATAGGTAACCATGCAAGGAGAGAGTTGTAGTTCAGGGACAAGGTCAGTCCTAGGTATACCCTCATAGTAGCTTTGTGATTATTTTAATTGGAACAATCTGCTTAAGGCCCTTGGGCTGTGATGACGAACCTGTGGTATGCAGAGTCCTCTCTGCGGACATGTATGCCTTTGCCCCAGCTCAGTTCCACCGCTCATGTATCCGTGCCTCCCGCCAGCCAGCTGATTTTTGGGTCTCTACCACGTATGTGGGGGGGGAGGGCGCCTGCAGGAGATGCATGCATATATGTAGGAGGTCAGGGTTGTGTGTGCATGTCGAGAGTCACGCGGGGGGTGCCCGTTTTTGGTCCCTGGAGGCTGCAGAGAGGCCTATTAGGCCCAAAATGGGGCGCGGGAGGTGCTGCACCACCCCATGACCCATTTTTGGTCCCAGAAGGCTGTAGGGAGGCCTGCAAAAAAGTTAGCCATCACTGCCCTGGGGAATTATCAGAGCTACAGAGGTCTATAACTTTTCAGTCACTGAGCCTTCTTGCATAATATTATGCAGTGTCCTGCCATCAGGTTTTTTTTTTAAATTGCTAGTGAGAGTTCAGCACGCTTTTCGGGGAGTCATGCGAGAATCCACAAGACTTCAGTTTTCCTATATAACCTCATGAAATCTGATTCAAAAATGGTGGAATCTTATGTGTTTAACCATCGTGGGAGATGTTGACACCCGTGATTTACAACATCTTATCGTGATTTATTTATTTTTTTGCGTTTGCGGTGCCAGGGTGGGCATGGCCTGCGCATGATGCCTCTGGCCCACAGCCTGCCAGTTTCACACCTGTGTTGTTCCTCCTCACCTGTGGATCAGGTCTCTAAAATGAATGAGGGGGGAAATGGCAACTTTGCACTGTTTGAAGCGTCCACTAGCTGCAGTTTTATGGTCTTTCCAGTTAATTGCTAAAGCACCCTTGTTTAAATCATAAAGCCTTTTTTACGGGACTGTTATCATGCCAGAGGTATCTTAGATGAATCATGCCAGAAGTAATGTAGGCTTTATTTTGGGAAATCTTTTCTACTTTTTAAGGTGGTTTCAGAAATTGCTCCATAGGCACTCTCTGGTTTTCCCCCCCAAACGAGACTGCAAGCTCTAATCTCCATTGTAAAAGTGCTCAGACATTGAGGCAAATTAAGTGTGGGGTTCCTTTAAAAAAAATCAGTTAATATGCAACCTGGACCGGAAGTTGCGGTGGTTATCTTATAAACCCTTTTGGCTAAAAATCCCTTTCAACTGCAGCTACACTCCAGATAGATAGGAGTGTGAGCGATATTGTTCTCTTAGTTTCTTGGTCTCCCACTTTGTTCTTTGGGACTAATGCAGGGCTGCCTTGGAGATTCTGAAAAGATTTGCAGAGGTTTGAACAGAAAAGGCTCCAGCCTTGCTTTTATAGCTCCCCTTATTCTCTCAGGCTAACAAAGGGGTTGCCTGTTAGAGCCATTGTCTCTACTCAGTGGGAAGATCCCATCATGGTGCTTGTAGAAATGGAGTCTCCTGCCACTCTCCCCGGCTGCCCACAAATGTAGGTAATGTGTGTCTCAGAGAGAGGATGCTAAAGAGACTATAGATCCTTCCCTATAGGCGTGTTATTTTGTAAGGCTAATAAGACATTGCTGTTTCAGCAACCTTTTGGAATTTGGCAGGTGGCATGACTCCAACTTGTACGAGAATGCTTAGTGTGATGTGTTTTGGGGGGTATTAAAATTATTATTATTTTCCTTCGTTAGACTGATCATTCCCGTGGTTTTTGGTATTGTTTTGATTTTGCCTTTTTTAGCTTGATTACTGAATGAGATAGGTGTCAACTGCTCAGGATCATTTTTTTGTTATTATTAGAGTAGGATTCTGTAGAGATTCTCGGTTCCACCACAAAACCGCATTCGACTAAAGCGCGCTCGAGGAAACCGCGTACCTGACATCATCACAGTGCGACGAAAAAAGCACGGGA